AGTGTGACCCTTATTCCTCAGCAAGGACAAGCAATGGGAAGGTTTCCAGAGGACAGTGGCTAAATCTTAGGGAGACAGAGGAGGCGGCAGCATGAGTTAGGAAGCCTTATTTCCTTCTTGGCAGGTGTGATGGGCTAGGGCTTGACCTGTGCAGAAGGCTGGGTTTTTTCATGTCTTCGTGTTGAGTCCTCTGGTAACATGAGCACCTTCAGATTTCTGCACTTGCAGGAGAGGAGGCCAGGAAAGCACCAACAGTGCTTGGAAATCCAGTCTGTACGTTAAAGAATGTGGAGCAGAAGCAAACTGCAGGGAGCCACTGTGCAATGAGCTGTTTTTACGAGGCAACATCGGTGGTCACACCGGATTAAACGTGCAGTTCCAGGTAACAAATTAAATCTGTTTCTCTATCTCTATCTTTTTCAGGGACGGTTCTCTAAGCAACCATTAAAAGAAAAATAAAAAAACTAACTCAGTTAAGTCTTCCTGTTAGAGCAGCTGGCTGCCTTAGAGTCTGCAAAACTTTAACTGGTGGCAAAAAGTTGGTTTTTATATGGGAATGGTATTTTTGCCAAGGAAGTAAAATCGTGCTCGTTTATGTGATAGCAGCTGAAGAGAGAAAGGAAGGAGAGATGGGATTCTATTTTATTGGCCCCCAATCAGCATCGATTTGTCCTTACTCAACCGTTTTCTTGTTCATGGCTAAACCAGAAAAAAGACTCTTCTGCCATCCAAACCCAGACCCAGAGAAGACACTTGCATCTCTGAGAATTTTGCGCTATTGTTGATGCAAAATATAATCCAGCACAGGACTAGCAACACGTGTGCTGTGCACTAGGATGTAGGGTCTTCTTTTACCATGTTGGGAGATTTTGCAAATGGAATGTGGGAGATTAATAGCCCAGGCACAGAGGCTATAGGATGGAGTTTTCAATTCTCTCCAGTCAAGGGAGTATAATAAAGAACAGAAAGATGTAAAAGAAAAAAGTCTAAGATGGTGAGAAAGGGCGCTCATTTTTAGGATTTTTTAGAAGACGAATTAATGTAATCTCAATGTTATATCAAAGTAGAATCAGAAATTATCATTTTCACATTTGAGTCTTAAAAATAAAAATACATAATTTCAGAGATAGGAGTAAAATGATGAAAGTATTCAGTCTATGGAACTAAGGTATAAAAAGGAGTGACTGTAAGATACCTAAATTTATCTCGGGATTCAGGGACAACCATGATTTTTCAGAGAAACATTTGCGATGGTATGTTATGGACATCATAAGTTACATTAATATCATTGATTGTCCTTTTCGAGTTGGCTGCTAGGAAGTTCAGAATCATATTTGTGTTCCATTTTATGTTGTCGTGTGTTATTTTCAAGACTAGAATTAGAGATAGTAACTAGGAAGTATTTAATTCAAGATAGCTGTTACTTCATAATATTGTTGACCAAAATTTTAAGAAGAAATATTTTTGATAGATTTGTTATCTGGAAAAGATAATAACTTGTGTTTATTTCACTGACACTATGGGGGAAAAGTCATTCTCAAGTTTCTAATGAGCCAGGCATGATAAATGAAGATTAGTTTTATAATATCCATTATCAGCAATTAAAGCTGCGAGATAACATTGATAGTCACTATATTTCGTGGGTTAACACTAATCTTTCAGAACTAATCTTATTTTTTTCACATCTTATATATCTTCTGATTTCTTTTTTTTAAAAAATTTCTGCTTCAAGTATTTTAAAAATTACTTAAATCTCTTTTTTGAAATAATTATATATTTTTAAAAAGCTGTCCAAGTGATTGTCAATAGTTAGGCATTCTTTCTTTTTGTTCTTGTGGCTTCTCCTTCCTCCTTAAACCGTACAATGAAATAACAGGTAGTCCTAGTTCTGATCTATGCAAACAAATATATGTATGTGTGTGTGTATTCGTGTGATACATACAAAAGTAGCATGATATATGATATTATATATAAAATATAACATGCAGTTGCCATATGGCTTCACCCTCAGAAGACACTGGAATTTGCCAGTTTCCAGCAAGGGAGCAGGTACTTGGACCCTCGGCAGAGTGAAGGGTATTTTGGGATACAGAAGAGGGTGCAGAGCCAGGAGCAGGGAAGACAAGACCAGAGTTGTCACTGGGCTTTCTGAGGGTGCCCCCACTATCAGAATGTTGGAGTTGGCACACTTTGTCCTTGCTCTCCTCCCACCTCCTTTCTTTGCTATTCTAAGTTTCAAGGACCTAGTCTGCCTAATCCCCAGCCCCTGTATCACTGTCATCTTGTGAGTGTGGCCCGCTGGTCCGCACTTCAGCACAGTACCCCAAAGTGGATCCAAGGCAGGAATTTTCTAGCCACATGGGTGAGTTGACTGATGATAACGAAGGGGAAATTTGCTTTTGGGTTCTGGGCAGAAGCAGATTTACAGTGTAGTTAAAGGAGCTTAAGCATCAGGGCTTCTCACTCGCATAGGTTTCTTACAGGTCTCTGCACGTAAATTTTTATATTAATGATTATGTGTTTTTTTCTTAAAGAGAGACACCCCACTCCCAAATTTTATTGTCAGAGTCTGACAAAACCTGTATCTGCCTCTGATTCTGCGATATAGACTTTGCTCCCTAATGAAAGTAAGAGGTTATATAAGAGTAAGCCACATCCCTTCTTTCCTGCTTTAGGATGACTAAAGGAAGGTGATGCTTGGAGCTGCAGTAGCCATTGTGTGACCCTGAAGAAAAAGCCAAAAGAATTACAGAAGAGCTCACTCAGGGCCGCATCTCAGTCTCTAAACTTCCACTCATTTGCCGGAGGTGATGCTTGGAGCTGCAGTAGCCATTGGGTGACCCTGAAGAAAAAGCCAACAGAATTACAGAAGAGCTCACTGAGGGCCTTGATAACATTGAGTTGATGATATCGTCAAACGAACCATGGAACTGCCTACTTCCAGACTTCTGGTTATGTGAGATAATAAATCTTTATTATTTAAACCACATTTATTCCAGTGGCCTATCACTATAAACAATAACATCTTAGCTGATACCCTTGGGTGTCAATCACTCATTGTGTTAATCACTCATTGGAAAAACGTGTGTCTTCTTGCTGAATTGATGATATCGTCAAACCAACCATGGAACTGCCTACTTCCAGACTTCTGGTTATGTGAGATAATAAATCTTTATTATTTAAACCACATTTATTCCAGTGGCCTATGACTATAAACAATAACATCTTAGGTGATACCCTTGGGTGTCAATCACTCATTGTGTTAATCACTCATTGGAAAAACGTGTGTCTTCTTGCTGGATGTGCTAGTGCAAGATAATGTGTCTGCTACCTTCCAGACCGAACCTTCTCTGAGAGCACTTTTGGCTGGAGTGGTTTCACTGGTGCCTGTCCCACCCTACTGGAGGAGTTCAGGTTCTCCCCGTTGGCACTTCATTAGTTGACCAGTGTCTTCATGATGCCATCTGGCTTTGCCATTCTGCCTACCTAAGCCTGTTTTTTGGTAAATTACCCCAAATCTCCTCTACATTCTTATAGTCTCCTTCCCTACTGTGAGCTAGACTCTCAGTGCGGTTGATTTCATCTAAATACAGGAGAGTAAATGATAGATACACATAGTCATGCTAAGAAATGAGGCACAGCGAACTATGAATTAACCTTTGTTGTCCATTTGCTTTTAAAAATTCAAAGCGATTCCAACAGAATTTCTAAATTGAAAACATTTCAAGCGTAAGCCCTTTTGTGTGACTTGGAAAGTTAGCTTTATGGAATAAAGTTTGAGAAGCACCTATCCAGGTGGCCCACTTGGCTGCATGTGCAAAGCCCTGAGAAAACCACTATAAATGCAAGTGCTGAGAGCCTAGAATAATCTCACAGCAGGTGAACTTCAGTGTGATCAAGCGAAGTGAAGCACTTTGGTTCTCAGATGAGAGAGGGTTAGGGCCGAGGGAGACTTAAAATCACATGGTCTAGGAAGCTGAGTCTGTAGAAGGGCCCAGCCTGGCCTCAGGACAGTACAGCTGACACTTCTGACCTGATCTGCTTTGTTTCCTTGGTGACCAGGTGCTTCTCTTTGTCTGAGAGCCTGCAAGAACCACTCGGTCCTCCTAAATGACTGGATTTATGCCAGGGAACCCCTATTTTTCCACATCTCAGTCTCTAAACTTCCACTTATTTGCCTGATCAGTATTTTTGTTGATCAAGACCCTACCTCTCTTTAGCAGATTGAATACCAGTCTTAGGCCTTCTACTTCAGTGGCCTCGATCAGTGCCTCTCATGTGCCAACATCTGCCGCTCTCTTTTGTCAGTAGCATGATTTATTTGCAACCCATCTTCAAACTCATGTGTAAGATAAACCATGCTCTCTTCAGGAACTGATTTTAGATGGAGTGTGACCGTGATTCCCCTGACGGGCAGGGCCTTCCCACGCTGGCCCAATATCAGAAGCTGATCTGAGAGACTGGTGAGCTTGGAGTCCAGACACATAAGTAGGAGGCCGCTGACGTCATTCAAGCATGAGGCAACTGAGCTTTGGACCCGAAATGCAAGATAATCTCCTCTGTAAAATCGAGTTGGCAAACGGGGGACCTGGATCTGTGGAGCTTTATTTGTGGAACGGTTCTCTCAAAGGTGAAAGCAAAGCCGAGCATCTCCTTGCTTTTCACTGCCCTGAAGCAACTGCTTTGGTCCACAGTCACTGTTTCACTTTAAACTGAATATGTTACATTGTAAGCCTGGGTAGCTGAGTTAAGGCCGGTTTGTTAAAATCCAGCGAGTCTGGAACCATGCAGTGTAAGCTGTGATTCTGGGTCCAAATCTACAGTGTGTGTCTAAAAGTCACCTGACCAAGCCTCTTGATTCTCCAAAGAAGGAAACAATGCCATAAATGACACTTATATGAAAACAAAATCTTTAAAGTATAAAACCTGAGTAAATATTTATCTTTGGCTGTTTGATAGACTTTTTCTAATAAATAAATTGTCACATATTTTATAATTACCTCAGTTATGAACCATCCTTCATCGGCCACTAAGGTCAAAGGAGAGACGAATTTCCCTTTCTTGTAATAGAACCTGCTTGGTATGGCTTCTTTCTCGTAGACAGTCATATGTTCCACTGTTCTCAGTTTGTTATATATCTGCAAAGAGAACCAAGAATGGTCAGTTTTGCATTCTCTTTCTTAAATGTATGTGAATATTTTTTGAGCCTAGAGGAAAGGGAGGATTTTATAAGACCGAAGAAACAAAATCTATCAAAACACCTGACAGATTTGACTACATAAAAATGAGAAACTTTCATATGTCTCAAAACAAGGAGGCTTTACCTAGGAACCCCCTAGATAAAGACCCACATGTCCCATGACCTAACAAGTAAACCCCTAAGGATATAGTGAGACTACATGTGCATCTGTAGACCTGTAGAGGAATACATACTGCAAACTAGAACAGCCCGATGCCCAGCAACAGTGGAAGGGATAGGGGAATCATGGTGTACTTTGGCAGTAGGATATTATACAGCAAAGAAGAGGAATGAAACATAGCTACACAGAACTACACAGAACACTTGAAAGAATCTCAGGGATTTCAGTTTGAGACCAAAAAAAAAAAAAGCAAGTTGAAGAAGAATACAGACAAGATTTTTCCTGTTACATAAAATTTGAATAACTACAATAGTAAAGACCCTATATGATGAAATTATAAAGAGAATGAGGGAAATGATAACTCAAAATTTAGGACAGTGATTTCCTCTGAGGGGGCTGCAGAGGTGATAGGGTTTGACAAGGGCACACAGGAGCTACCACAGGTAATGATAATGTGAAGAAGAATACAGACAAGATTTTTCCTGTTACATAAAATTTGAATAACTACAATAGTAAAGACCCTATATGATGAAATTATAAAGAGAATGAGGGAAATGATAACTCAAAATTTAGGACAGTGATTTCCTCTGAGGGGGCTGCAGAGGTGATAGGGTTTGACAAGGGCACACAGGAGCTACCACAGGTAATGATAATGTCCTAGTTCTTAAATATTTTTGAATATAAGGTGCTGTTACAGCATTATCCTTTACACATTACACATATTTTATAATAATTTTTTGGTATCTACTCGATGATTAGTGAACAAATTACAAAAATTTATTCATTTCTAAATGCTAATGTAAAATTAAAGGGCAAATGAGAAGTTGGTCTGTCTGATGTTAAATACCACCGAAATCTAAGAGAGAGAACTTGTTCTTTGACTTGACCTAGAGCATGTCCTAATTACACTTTAATCTTAAAAGTACTAATTGTTTGCCACTAATTATACTGCTAGTTTCATGATGAGGATGTAAACTCTGCACATTTCCAATATTTAGCAGCAGCTTATATGCTTATGGCTAAAATTAAGATCAACTGGCTGATGTTGACTTGCTAGCCTTTAGCCAGCAACTCTTCTTGGCTAGGACTGACTATAAAATTGAGTTTATCCACTTAACTCTGAAAATAGTCTTTAGACTGTTTCATAGAGGTTTTTTGATGCCCCAGGAGTTATGATTTCTTACTTAAGACAACCCATAGTTCTTAACGGAAGTAGGGTGTATTTGCAGAAAGCTTTTGGATAAGGGAAAAATCTGATGACACATAGCAGGTCTCACGAACTGTTGTGTCCGTCACATGATGAACTGTCACCCAAACACAGGCCGCACTTTTGAATAATCTACCAACTGCTTTCAGCGTCTTGCAACTGCCTGCCTGAAACACCACGCTGGGAGAAGCGCTTCCGAGCTCATCAGCTGCTGATGCTCGAGCGCTCTGGAAATGGCACGTCCCTAAGTGCCAGGTTGGAGATGCGGGTGATCTTCCTTGCCAGGAAAACGGAACTTCTTTGCGAGAAGCCATTTGCTATGGGACATACCAAAGTGTAAAATAGTCTTCCCAATTTCATATTTAGGGAGTTAATGAGGGGCATTGTGTCATGCTTTCAGTACCTCCACTTCCTGACCCTGGAGTCTGAGAAAAAAGGGCATCCACCATGGGAATGGGGCGGGGTGGCATTTTTGGCAACTATGTTCCTCAACCCTAACGCAGATAGACCTTAGGCTCTTACGAGAGTGGGTAAGGTTGGGAGGAGAATCTTTCTCTATGGGCCAAAGAGAAGAAAGCCTAGCCCACCCCAGTGTTCCATCAATACCAGAACCAATTGGGATTACCGCTGTGAGGAGGGGTGGAGGCACCAGGGACACCCAAGGCCTATTCCTGGCACCCCTGTGGTTGGCACCTCCACTGGCAGCCATCCTGAAGGAGAGACTCAATTCCTGGTCCAGACAGTTTTCTCTGGGAGGGAGTAGAAGCCCCAAAGTCTGTACTAGGGTGACGATGCAACATGGGGCAAAGCAGTCAACCAAAGGTGCCATTTGTTCCTTCTCATTTTTTCAGGGTGGCTCACCGAGTTCTGCCAGTTATAATTATTGTTTGGAGAGAAGGGTAAGTAGAGGCCTAGTGATCTCAGGGTGCTGAGGGCAATGACTGGGGGAAGTGAACTTTGTCCCACATCTGGGAACGTCCCCCTTCATTGGTGGTAATCATAAGAAGTGACACATATGTCATCCTTGCAGTGGGCCCAGTATGCGTCTATGAGCTTTATTGCAGCCCAGGAGGGAAGCTACGATGATGACATCACCACATGCATGGACAGAGAAGCAGCAGAGGGGCCCAGTTAGGCAACTGCCCAGTTACCAGTTGATGACAGAGCTAGGATTTGAACCCGAGCAGTGTGGCTCCTGAGATAAGGAGCTGATCACAGCACACACAGCCTCAGCCTCTGTTCATTCATCACCTTCTTATCTCAGACTTGCTGATGAAAACAGATCAGACTGCTGGCTTTCTTCCAGAGAAAGAGCATTTTGTATATGCATCTGATATTCCCCAGATTTGCCTGAGAAGTGCTGCATTTCAGCCAACAATAAAATAGCCCGAAAAGGGCTAAGCGCTTAACATGGTGAGCACTTATCTCATTTAGTTTCCACTAAAATTCAGTGTGGTAGATACCAGCATGCCTGTTCCACAGAAGAGAAAACAGAGACAGGAAGACGAACAACTCCACGAAGGTCACCGGGCAAGAGAGCGGCGAGGCAGGTCATCTGCCTCCTGACGCTGCTCTGCATTTCAGCATTAAAGCTACAGGGCAAAGATCAGGCACAAAGTGGTGGCGAATGGGGACATGCTCCCCTCCCTCGCCCGTCCACCCACGCTTGTCCCCCCTTCTTGGTGCTTCTTGCCTCAGAATATTTCCCAGGCGCGGGCCAAAGGCTTACAACGGGCCCTCGGTCCTTTGCTTGCTGCAGGTCATTCAGGTTGATGTATTTATTCAGCTCAATCACTTTATCCATCCAGAAAATGTCAGTCATTCCATGATCAGAGAAGATGATGACATTGAGGTCGTCCTCCAGCTGCCGCTCCTGTGGGCAGACAAAGGCAGTCACGACAGCACCGAGAGACACGCTCTTGTAAAGAAGTCTCGTAAAGACGTTATAGGAGAAAAGACTCTTAACCAAGTCTGAATTTAATCATCTACTCTTCTGCCCCGATGAGACACAGTTCACGATCGCAACAGAAGCACTTTGGAGAGGGGAGTGCGAAGGGCAGTCTCCAATCCAGCGATGCTAACGATAACATGGATGGGCCTTTAACCTTGTGAGTCGCGCTCTGCTGTCATCGTCAGCTTTTTTGACAAACTTCTGTGGTAGTATGAGGGCTATCGTGCGCCTATTTCACAGACGTGAAAAATAAAGCCCAGGATAGTTAATAAAAATAACTTGCTTAAAGTCGTTCAGCCAGAATGTGGCAGAATCAGGTCTGGCTCCCATGCCCATGCCAAGCTGGTTACTAGACTTACTAGGTTTTGGTAAAGAGCGGGGCCTCCTCACCAGCAAAGCCAGCTGATAATGGAGATCTGAGTCATTTCTATCCCACTGGCCTGGCTATAAAATAAGAGGTCTTTTGGTACTTAAAGAGGAGTTTGTGGAGAAAAGGGACCCGTTGCAAACTTTGTTGGCCTGATCAGCTATCATCAGCAAGAAGGAAGATGTTGAGGGGTGTGACAGTCAAGGAGTCAGAAAGACAGTGCTGAGAAGGAAGGTTAGCTCAAAGGTTCTTGTTTTTAGTTACCTGGATCCACTTGGTCATGTACTTCAGGACGGTGTCCACGGCCTTCAGGGCGTCTTTTCTCTGAGGTGACGAGGGGCCATAGTGGTGACCTTCCACGTCGATGCGCTCATGGTATATAGCTGCCAGGTCGGCTCGGCCACTCCTGGAGGAAGCAGGGTAAGAGAGGCACAGCTGAGAAGCCCCGACAGCTTTCTCACCCAGCAGTCCTCTGTGAAGGCGTTGGCACCCCCAATCCCTGCGCTACGGGCCAGGCAAAGCTGATACCTTAAAATGAACAAGGTTGGATATGCAAGGGAGAAATAGGAATATTGCTCCAAGAAGTGCCAGTCCTGAGCACATTGGTGACAAAAGTCAGAGAACATGTTTATGGCTCACCACTTCTCTTGGCTCACGTGGTATTTCTCATCATGTCCCAAGAGTTAGAAGATGTGGTCACAGTCAGGGGATGTCTGATAGCTTAACCCTCACCACTTGCTGTCATTGGAAGATCAGAAAAACTAGATGCAATCATTGAAATAATGACTGTTCTGTCATTGCCGGAATTTAGGGGAGCCTCTAAATAAAACACGGGACTATGGGTTTCACAGACTTGCAAGAATAAGAACAAGATTTACCACAGTGACCTTGTGGGAGGCAAGTAGGTTAGTGTCAGGCCCAACATCAGCAGATACCCACAGGACCCCTGTGGGGACACATGAAGAGTCAGCTCCAAGGTGGATGCAATGAATTCTAGCACTGACCACACTTCTATGTTTCCCAGAAAGACCCTGGTTCTGGAAAAACACCCCCTCTTGGCCTGAGTACTGAGGTAAAAACTCCAAGCTATTTAACCCTTGATGCTGGGCTAAGAATGACCAGGAACTAGTGATATAAACTGGAGTCACGGAGGGGAGAAAAATGCCATGTATTGTGCCCTCTCTCCTTCACACAAGGCTTTCCATCATGTCCCCCCTCCCCAGCTCTGAATTTGCCCACTACCTCCTTCCAAAGCTCCTGAATAGAGCTGTAATCACGACAGCAATGGTCACTATGGTAGCAGTAATAGTAACTGATGAAAATCGAAGCAACAGAAAAGAAATTAAAGCTAATTCTTTCGTTGGATTTTATAAGGGTTAATAATTAATACTGGGGCAGATTGCTTAATTTCTTTTGAAAAGCTATATTTTAAGCATACATACACACACAGGGTGGCATGGTCTCTCCTGGGATGGCCTCCCCACACTTGGAACATGAGGAATGAGGAATAAAAGAGTGTGTGTCCTCAGACCCTGCTGGGGTTGAGCGATCTACAGCGGGGGCAGAATAGCCTCACAGTTGTTCAGAGAACATGGTGTACACGACCAGAGTTAAACAGCTCCTGCTGGCCCTCCAGGTCTCAGGGGAGATGTTCCTTCTGCCAGGAAGCTGGCTTAGACGCCCGGACACAGGGGATGGCCCTTCCAGGGGCTCCCATGGCACTTCAGATTCATCTTGGAGTTATGACTTTTCATCCGGTATGGAATTGCCCTTTATATGTCCCTTTCCCTCTCTAAATTGTGAGGTTCTTTCACTGTAGGGATGGTGATTCATTCTCCATTGTATCTCAGCTCTAGCCTAGGACTTGGCACGCAGTAGGTCCTCTATAACTGTCAGTTGAATATGTAATAATAGTAAGTCCTCAGTAAATGATAGTTACTCTGGGTGAGTCACTATGTTGAGGGCCTTTGCATACATTATCTTATGTTATCCTCACAACAACCCCGTAAGTTAGGGATATATTGAACAGAGAGTTCTAAATAGTTGCTAGCAACACACAGCTAGTGTGAAGTGGAGCCAGGACGCAAATCCAGGTGGGACCGACTTTGTCACCCTGAACACAACCACTGAATATTCTGAAAGATCTCAACAGCCCACCACACACTCTGCTTAACCCAATCCATCTTGTGGAAATGCTTCTTATTCTCTTATAAGAATTCCGCCAACCCCAGGAAAGCTGATGTGAGGCAAGGCAAAGGGAGTCGCTTTGACTTCTCGACGTACCATGCTCTATGCCTGTGGGTTGGATGTGCCCGGAACTACAGTGAAAAGCGTTCTTATAGAAAAGCATTTGCAGATTTTGTAGACTGGAAATTGGTCAAAAAGAATTCTAGGAGTAACTCAAGGCCTCACAGATCTCTGTGGCATGGCTAACTGGGAATGCTAGCCTTCTACCTCCAAGGTCAGAGCACTTTGCCAGCCTGGGCTTCTGCATGTCCACATCTGCTCCATTCACTGCACCGGGAAGCAAGTTCCAGAGAATGTCCTGGCATCTTTCCTCATTGCGGTCACGCTTGCCAAGGGACACACCATTAATGATGCTGTGATATTCTCCTGCATACCCAGAGGTGTGCCTCATTCATGGTTTTGAGAACACGTTGGTTTCAAGGTAAGTTATACTGCTAGTCAAATATTTTTTTTCTCTTTTCAGAGAAAAACAAACTGTCCCTTCTTTAACAAATACCACGGCCACCATTCTGCACAATGGGGATTGGGTTACGGTGTTATTTAGGTGTTTCTCACAAATGATATTATCATTATTTATACTTGCTGATGTGTAAATGACTAATCCTAACTCTCTCAGCATCTAGAGACAGCAGAAAGCAAAAAATCACTCGAGGGCCCGTCAGTGTGTAGGCAGTGGGCAAACGTTCTTCCTGGGTAATGGCATTTCCGTACACGTCCCTACACTTTTTTGAGGCCCAAAGTCATCACACCGATGGGTGGATGGCGCTACCTCCATCATTATGTTTGAACATATTGAAACCTTTCAGAAATCATTCCGTCGGATAAGCCTCAGCACATAGCTGCTTTACGCACTTGCATCTGTAGCACTCCAATGCGTGATTCACGCAGCACAGCTCACTTTAGGCACATCCACTTCCAGGGTGGGGCTTGTATGCGGGGGACATTTCACACACAAGGTTACTGCTGCAGTAAAGTTCAATGAAACAATCTTAAGTCATTTTGTCTTAGACACCTCACTTTACTAGAGCAGCCACTGGGCTAGTTTCTCTAAGGCTGTTTGCCATATTCACAAACCTCCATGTGATCAGAAAGCCAGAAATTCTCACAGATGTATCTGATGGCTCTGTGTCAGGAAGCTGTCAACTCCAGATGCCAGTAACAGTGGGTTTGGGATGCTTGCGAATCAGGGATTCGTACATGTGCCTTTTGTGCAAGGATTTCGATGCCAGAGTTTCACTGATTCATTAGGAACCTAAGCCTTCAAGGGCTGAGAGCTCTTGCCTGTTTGGAGTTTAGCTGACAAATTCTTGGTCGCCAGCTGTTTTCCACATGGCTCTGGTCTCCATCACAGGTCAGCTCATTTGTAACGGAGTGGTTGGGTGAGGAGCGATGGGTGGAAATGTCTGCAGATCTGTTATTGGCTATTTATAGCTTTAAGGTCCAGGAACCGTGCCAGAAGGACATGTGGCCATCAGCCCAGTTACCTGAGAGCTAAAAGGGGCCCCTAGCTCTGGGGTTTCAGGGACATCCAGGTCTCCTATCACCTTAAGATTCTGTCCAGATTTCTTTTCATTGTAAAAAGTTTATAATGTCACATCCATTTTTCTTACTGAGGTGGGTTAGAAAGAGAGAAAAATTAGGGAGATAGAAATGGAGGCAATTTAAAAGAATGGTTGAAGTTATTGACTGTTAAGAAAAACCATAAAAACTTAGAAATAAGGCCAAAAATATAATCGCTTGTCTTTCAGTACTGTAAAAGAGCAGCATCTAATAAGTTTGCTTATGGGTCACTAGACTTAAATATCAGTTAGACCCTAGACTCCGTAAACTTAGCTGTTAACCTGTAGGAAAGTGACAAGATGAAATTACTTTTGTCTGATAGAGACGATAACCTATCATTCTCCATCATTCTTTTTCTTCATGTGTGTTTTTCAAATTCTTTTAACCAGTTTTGTTATCTCCTGATTCCTTCAGTAAGAAGTTCTTTTGAACTTTGGCATAATTCTCATAGACTTATGTAGTGAGCACAGGACAAAATTCTAATTTTGAAAACTATACTTTGACAGGGCATTGAAACTGGCCGAATCTGGGTTCCTATTCTGGCTTTCTTCTTACTAACCTGCAGGTCTCTAAATATCTCTAAGCCCCAATTTCCCATGTGAAAAATCTTCTCAAAGGGCTATACTGGGTATTAAATGAGCTGGTGTTTGTAAAGTGCTTGACACACAGTAAAAGGGAGGCAAAGGGAAGGAAACACCTCCCATTTCTCTTTTTCACACAGACGTGCATCTACATGGCTTTTCCCTGTGGGCCAAGCAGAGAGGAGAAACCAGTCTCTGCTGAGCCTGTATTCTCGCCCCTTCTTCCTCAGAGTCCACAAGGAGGAGAGAGAAAGGCCAGGACATTGGAGCTGGCTGCCCCGTGGCCTGTGAAAGAACCGTCTCGTCATCCACTCACTCCTTAAGTAGCACCAGCAGCTATAAGAGCAGCTATAAGAGCAGGTTCTGGGATCCTGGAGGAATTTCTCTGGAGCCATTTCCATACTCTGGAGCTTGACAAAGGACAGCAGCTGTGTGCCCTGTTCCTGCGGCCCAGCTGTACTTGACCAACCTTTTTAAGAGGCCGCTTCAGTCAGTCTGCCTGGACCAGCCTGGAAGTAGCACCCAGCCCTCCAGGCAGCCAGAGCTGCGTCTGCCACCACAGTCCCCAGACAAGCTTCTCGGGCTTATTCGGCTCCCGCACCACACACCTATTCCTGCTTACTGAAGCATGAGTGTCCTGCCAACAGAACTTCCAGGAGGATGGATTAAGTGATGTGGATCACAAACTGCTTTCTTTTTTGACAGGCAAGGAGGCAATGTGAGCAGAGATGTTACCTGGGTGTCCCCTCTAGGCACACAAAGCACCAGTGACTGAGGCTGCGTGCTCCTGAATACGTAAAACACTGAGCAGACCGCCAAGGCCGCCATCCCACCTCCTTCCTGCATGAGCCCCAGGCCCAGCACAGCCCCAGAGAGGAGACTGGCAAAGAAACACCCTCCACTTCCTCTCCGTCCCTGATCACATTTCAGGGTATCTTGGAGGTGTGGGTAGAGATAGGGAAAGGCTGAGGAATTGATTCTCAAGTAGTTTTCAGGCACTTTACTCTCAAGGGAGGCCTCTGGACATTGGGTTCTAATCCCCCATGGACAGAATTGGGATCTGGCTCCACCACCTCCAAGCTATACAAGACCTGAGGTAAGTTATTTAACTGTCAAAGAGTCCGTTGGCCTCTTTTGTAAAAGAGGAAAACACTATGTAGTGCTGTGGATATAGAGCAAACTGGGTCAATGGCAATAAAGTCTTTGACACAGTGCTAGTGGATGGGTGTTAAAAACACCAACTCTCTTGCCCTTCTCCTGTCCTCTACACCAAAGTTGTCCAAGTACAAAGGTAATATCTGACAAGGGTACGCTTGGGTCAGTAGAGCTTTACAAACACTAGAGGCAATGCCCATATCAAACGTGGAAGCTGGGCTAGCCCTCCCCACGCAGACATGTGCAGCTTCTTGGTCGACCTGGACTCTTGCAGAAATGCTGTCCCTGGGTAGGATCCTGGGTTCAAGACCTTGGCTGTCTCTCCTGCCTCCTGTCAAAGCCTATCTATCCTGTGCATATTTTGTCTGCTCCTCAAACTAACAGTAAAGTGGATAAAGACACTCTATAAGCAGTACTGACTGGGAGAAGTATGCGTGTGTGTGTGTGTGTGTGTGTGCGTGTGTTTGCACACTCATGTGTGGAAATTCTAAGTGCTCTTCAAATTACAGCTAGGAATTTGAGATAGAGCTGAAAAGAAACCAAGAAGAGGGTATAGAGCTCTCAACATACTCCTCCATTTGGGGCTGATGAAAAGAGAAATACACCAAGAAAATTAATGATTCCTTTGAGTCACATTCTCACATGAATAACCTGCTATTTGCAAAGTGGTCTTGATTGTTCTAGATATTCTAGACTGGGCAAATGATGGCTCATAATTTTCTATCCTTAATTTTACTTTGTAAGAAAGAAATGAGATATGTTCCAATAATGCATAGGTTGGTTGAAAAAGGTGCCTCTTTTTTCTTTGAGGGAGAGCCTAAGTTATCTTACTATCTTCCATGGGCAGTAAGTATCATCTGGCCAATTATTTTTCTTCTCATTTTTTTTTCTCACTCTCATTTCAAGCCCTGACTAGTTTTAGAGACAGTGGATCTCTATCTCTCCACTCACTCTTCAAAGAGGTTGTTTCTGATGGCCCTGTTGACTTTTGCGGTATGAAAACTCCACACGACAACTGCACTAGCCTGATACCATCCTGCACAGCTCCCGGGGATCATTTGCCTAGTGGACTATGTGAAAACGCCATCCCCTGGAGCTCAAAAGTGTGTGCACGAATGACTACAATGTTGGGCAATGTGGTAGCACCAAGACACACCATGCAGAGGCCTAGCGTGAGGCCGCTTTCCTGGACCTTCAGTTCTTTATAGCCGTTTCTCTCCAGGGAAACCCAATACCTTTCTAAATACACCCATACATATACGCACACCACCAACAACAGCAACACCCTCTTCCCCATTTCTAAATGCCGTGCTCCAAGATAATCTGTGATTCCCCAGTGTTCCATAGCTATGCAATGTTGCTTAAAAAGGAAAAAAGAAAAACTTCTTCAGAAACAGAAGAAACAGACACAGAAACTTCTCTTGGAAACAGAGCCTAGAACTAATTCCTCCAGCATTGCAGTGTGCCTCAGGACAGGGAAGCCTGCCTGGATTGGCCAGCTTACAGGCCAGCACTGACATGGGACTCTTGTGGCTGTGTGATCCATGCTTTTCTACCTGTGAGTTACTGAGTAGTGTACAGTGGGAGACCATTTAGCTGTCAAGACAAGAGAAATGTGAAAAAGATTATATTGCCAAACAGAGTGTTGCATTATTTGGAGGTGTTTATGTGACAACTATGTTCCAAATTTTCATATTTGGCATGGCAATAGGGTGTAGGGATGGCTAGTGTTTTGGATATGTTGGAAACAGCGTTGTGTCGACATAAAGCCATCCCAAAGTTCCAGCTCTACTCATCTGCTGTGTGTGCTATGCCATTCTGCTTTGCTTGCACAAACTAGGCTGGAACACAGCATTCCGATTTGCCATGTATGTGGTTTCCTAGCACTTGTGGGCAAGAAAAAGAAAGCAGAGTAGGTAGGAGGCAGGATCACATAACACACCTGAGTTACAAACCATGTAGTGAGGAATATTTATTTAAAGGTTACTTCTTCCAGATCTTCTCAAAATACTCTAAACTTTTAATTTGTTCCCTCTTGATTTTTAAGTATTTTAAACCTATTTTCTCTCCAACCGATCAATTACAGCCTGAACCTTCATGTGCCCCAGAGGGTCCTCTTAACAGGTCTCCACGAAAGTGGAATCATTCTGAGAAGCAACAAAGGCGAGGGTGTTGTTTTCTTTTTTCACAGCTCTGTGGGGGTGATTGATGCTCCCCATGGTGGCTAGGTGGTGGTGACAAGAATGGTATTCACAATCGGTTGCCTCTCTTTGAGGCACTCTTAGTTACGGTCCTTTCTGTGGCTGGTGCTAGTGATCCGTACACTGTATCCGCAGTGTGCTGGCGCTCAGGGTCTGCCCAGCTCAAAACCAGGCTCTTCCTCTTGGGAGAGTGATAGTTCTTTCTTGGTCTCCACACTATGATTACTATGGGTTTCCTGCCTTGTGCCCACCCAGGAAACCCACTCAGTAGCCAAGGCGACCCCCTGTTTAGCCCTGAAAACATGAGAGCCCCCAATATCTTCAGCCTCTTGGTTGCTAATTTCCCATGTAGACTCCCAACCTGGTCTCCCATCCTGACTTCCACTTTCAGTGATTTCTGAGACTGACTTGAGGCTTTGTCCTGACCTGTCTTGTTGGTCCCTTGCCCTGACAGACTCTTGTGTGCTCTTCAGGACAGCATTACTAATTTTTGCATTTTTCAGACTGTGAGCCGTAGTTCTATGTGGGAGAAAAAATTAAAGTTTTATGTTCTAATATGTTCACGTGCTTTGTACATTTTTAAGAAGTGCATAGAGTATGCCATTTTCCAAACTTATTTCACCACGGATCCTCCCTTTTTACCAAATATTTATTAATATCTTCTGAGATACAAACATTCACTAAATCATGATTAGAGACATGCTGACATTCCTATTGCTTCTCCATTATCCATCAATACAAAAAAGAAAGTCCCAAACCCCTGGGGACTTTCTTGCTCTTTATTCAACATTTCCAAAGAATGCCCCTGCCTGAAATCACTCACTCACCATTATTCTCTGCTAGTAGTTTACAGTCACCATGTGAGAGGCTCACCATCTCTCTGAGACATTATTTCACTTATATCAAGCCTTCTTAACTCATGTTAGCATTCATTATTGGTCCTGGAAACGAGGAAGAACAGTGGTATGACTAAGAATTTGGAACACTTACTTGAAGGAGTCGAGAGCATCACTGACTGCATTGGCAAAATTGATATCCGTCGGGACATTTTTATATTCTAGGCAGTACGTGGGTCTGACACCAAGAATCTCAACCTCACAGCCTACGAAGGAAAAAGATGGTAAGTGGTTACTCTCTTCAGTAATCGAGGTAGGCTTATGAGCCTCTTTTGGGAAGCAAGCACCATTTGTTCATGTTCAGGAACTAAAAAGAACTTATTGCTGATAAGCGATATATTTAACCGTAACTTTTTTAACTGGAGCAGAGGTTGTCAAATGTCATTCTTATGCAACACTGGTGTCCCCTGAAAAGGACAAACAAAAACAGTTAATGATCGTCTTTCCCAATTCCCAAATTCCTAAATTTAAAACAACAAATTAAATTAGTACACAAAAATGTCTCAATTAAAACATTTTTTCTATAGATTTTTAAATAACTACTGAACCTTTTACTGTACCATTGCCTATTCTAGAATCAAATATTAGGTACTTTCTGATTAGTTCAGGAATAACAAAATAACTATTTCACTAATTTAACTGGACTTAGCATTACTGCACCAGATTAGGAAATCTAAAATTCACTGAGTGAAAGCACGAATTCTGAGTTGTGACCTTGCCTCTCCCAAATTGAAGTAAAAGAATAAAAGGCATTCAGATGTTAGGAGTTGCTATAGCCTCAGCTTCTCTGCTTCTATAGTTCCCTGGAATGTAGAAGTAATCGCTCTGAGGAAGAGACACCCAACCTTATTATTAGAATTTAAGGCAAGAGAGAGATGAGCCTGTTTCAATTTAAGTTAGGTATATTTATTGAGCACCTACTATAAACTAGTTACTATATTCAGACATAGTGGAAACAGAAATTTATCAGTCAGAGTCTCTGACCTGGAGCATCCCAAAGAGGAGTATAGTGGGCAGAAACACATCAGAAAACTGTGTACTGTTTTTTTGTGAGAAGTCCAAGTGAGATGCACACTTACTGGGTGGGAGGAGGGCTCAGATGAGGGACATTTCCTCCTGGAAGCCTTTCTCAAATCCCCATGTTGGCCTCAGTCTTACGAACTGCATCTAGTCAATGCATAGGGGGAGTTGGGGTGGGGGTGGGAAAGAAAGCACATCCCAAGCAAAGAGAGCAGCAGAAGCAAAAGTTCAAAGTGAGAAACAATAAGGTGTATGCGGAGAACTGTCAGCACAATGAAATTCCAGACAGGTGGTGTCAGGAGACCAGATGGTGAGCTTTCCTGTAACCCAGGAAAAATGATTTCCAAGGTGGAAGTAAGTAAAAGTGGGACAAGTTGGGAGTGTGAGGAGAAAGGAGAAACACATTAACCCCACTCCTGGGTACATCTGGTTACAGCTGGTAACCATCTGGTCTACAGTTGGTTACGACTGATTTATTAGAAGGTGGGGCAGCCTCCAAGCAGAATTCCTTAATCCAGCATACCATAGCAAGCTCTGAGTGCTCCATGGAGACTCCATCTCTTTCTGCCTGATATCTTGGGTTCAAGCAGAACAAGGCTATCTAAGCAATTAAGAGAGACCTGAGTGGGATTTGTCGAGTAGGATGAACAAGGGGATGACCCAAAAGTAAATTTTGTTTGTGAGTTCTTGGAAAATATTCATTATCCTAAGAAATGCCAGTGGAATTTTGACAGGTGATAGCCCTTAAGATACCTGTGTTTTATCTGTTGAAGGTTGTTTATGAATGTTTATTGTTTTCTCAAAGCTGTTCATTCAACAGTATAAGAGAGCCATGCTTTATATCCATTTCGTGCTCAGTGGCAGCAACTCAAATGCAAATGAGATACCACCTATCCCTCAAAAGATTAACAACCTTATTCAACGTGGCCAGGTATCTGCTTCTGGCACATCTGATACATAGTTATGTGAGTTTGCAAGTAATGGAATTTTTATCATGGTTTTGCAGATAAAAGAAACTGCACACTTTTTGTTTTTACATTAATATCAAACTATGTGTTTTTATATAATTATATTTATTAATATTATCAATTATGCATTCTCTTAATGCTTTTATTGGATTAAAATGAATCTAGACCTAATACTGGTGTAATAATATAGTTCACCTGAGAAATTTACGTTTGCCTAGGTTAAAGGGAAATATAAATTTCTTTTATTGACTAATTACATATAGAATTCTATAGTGAAGTTGGAGACAATATGTGGCAAAGTAGATCTGTTGTTTTTTTTTTTGTTTTTTTGTTTTTTAATTACAATGAATTTTAACTTAATCAAGAACCATGGTAGCATCCTACCCAAGGCTAAGGATAGGACAGGAAAATGGAGAGAAATTCCCCAAAGTACACAAACCCTTCACTGAGTGCAAGGCAGCAGCTCATCAAAGGCTAGAGAAGAACACCGGGGTAGAAAGATATCTTCCAAGTCACAGAAAGTTGGAGACAATGCTGGAGAGAAAAAGAACTCTTCGGTGATTCAAAAAGTTGGCAGCATAAACTCCTCACGTAAAGAATAGAGAGTTTTCCACTGGACAAATTCCAAGACCAGCTAAAGGGATATTCCTATCGTTCCTCGTGACATTTGAAGCCAGTGGCAAAATGAGTCTAAGTAAAACTTCAAAAAAGCCCAGACCCAGCTCAGCTACAGATTAGATTACTTTTCTTCTACCCAGAGGCCTGACCTAGGGAGGGGCATGAACTTTTCTGGGGGAAAAGATCATTTGCTATACTCTCTATTGTTATTTTTTTATACAATGTTCAGCATATAATAAAAAAATCATGATATATGTTAAGAAGAAGTGAAATGTGCCCCATAATTAAGAGAAAAATAGTCAACAGAATCAGATCCACGGGTGACACAAATGCTGACTAGAAAGAGTTAACATAAAAGAAATTTCTTTAAAATATTATTGACTATGTAAAGCAAAATTAATAACAATGCATCGTGGGGTTTACAACATATGTATAAGTAAAATAGATGATAAGAATATAGAGTATATATATGGACAAATGGCATTATAAAATTTAAAAACTCTAACATCATTTGTGGAGTAATATAATATTATTTCAAGGTCAGACATGAATAAGTTAAGGATGTTTGTCTAGAATAACCATAAAAAAATAAAATCTGAAGTCAAAAGAGAAGATATAATAATATTCTAAAAGTACTCAATTAATGGAAAAGAAGATAGGAAAAAAGCAACAGAGGAATGAAAACAATTAAGACAAAAAAATAATACAAAGATGGTAGGCTTAAATCCAACTATAACAATAATTACATCAAATGTAAATGGACTAAATACTTTATTTAAAAGAGAGAGATGGTCAGACTGGGTAAAAAATTAAGACCCAAATGTATGCTATCAATTAGAGAGAAATTTTAAAAATGTAAATACTTTGACTGGTTAGGAAGAAAGAAATGGAAAAAAGGTTATACCATGCAACAATAAGTATAAGCAAGTTGCTATGGTTATATGTCAAAGTAAATTTCTATAAAATACCAAATGATAGTGAAAATGAGCAACTGGAACTCTTGTCATTTTCTGGTGAGACAGTAAAATGATGGTCACTTCATAAAATTGTTCAACAGTTTCTTATAAAGTCAAATATACATCTACCCTGTAAACCAGGATTTCACCACTAGATATTTGCGTAAGAGAAATGAAAACATAGCCCAAAAAAGACATACAAGGATGTTCATAGTAGCCTTAGTTATAACAGCTTCAAACTGGAAATAATCCAAATATCCTTAAATAGGAGAATGAAAAAACAATTCTTGATATGTTTGTGTTATGAAATACTACTCAGCAGTGAAAAAGAATAAACTTGATACATGCCACACATGGAGTGAAATCTCATAAACATTACATTGAACAAAAGAAGGCAAACACAAAAGAGTAGAGTTCCATTTACATGAATCTTGGGATTGGACAAAGCTAATCTATGACAATACAAATCAGAAAGCATTTGTCTCTAAGGTGGTGAGTGGTTGATTGGAAAGAGAAATGACTATGGAAAAATTCTATATCTTGATTTGAATGGTAGCTACACAGGTGCAGGTGATTTTGAAAATGTATCAAACTATACTCCTATGACCTTTTATTGTATGTAAATTATGTCTCAAAAATTAAAATAATTGAGTATCTATAATGTGCATAATTTTGTATTAAGATATAAATAATGTTAAGTAAAATGGTAGTGTACAAAGATTAATGATAATAATAACAATCTGTTATTGACTGCTACTATTTGGTATAATTCTTACAAATCTTATAAAATAGCTGATAGGGCCTTTATTTTACACACGAGGAACTGAGTTCAAAAGGTTGAAGAGATCTTCCCATTGTTATAGAGTAAATGTGAGGAAGAGCTAGTATAGTCTTGTTTTGCTTAACAATGAGGATATGTTTTGAGAAATGTGTTGTTAGATGATTTTGTTATTGTGAGAACATCGCATCATGCACTTACACAAACCTAGATGGAATGAATAGCCTATTGCATATCTAGTCTATACGGTATAGCCTACTGCTCCTAGGTTACAAGCCTGTACAGCATATTACTAGACTGAATACTATAGGCAACTGTAACACAATGCTTTTTGTGTATCTAAACACAGAACAGATACAGTAAAGATATGGTATAAAAGATAAAAAATGGAAGACCTGTAGAGGACACTTACTATAAATGGAGACTGTGGAGAAAGTTTCTCTGGGGGAGTCAGTGAGTGGGTGGTGAGTGAATGTGAGGGCATAAGATATTACTGTACAGTACTGTAGACTTTACACTTAGGCTATACGGTATAGCCTACTGCTCCTGGTTACAAGCCTGTACAGCATATTACTAGACTGAATACTATAGGCAACTGTAACACAATGCTTTTTGTGTATCTAAACACAGAACAGATGCAGTAAAGATATAGTATAAAAGATAAAAAATGGAAGACCTGTAGAGGTCTTCCTGTAGAGGACACTTACTATAAATGGAGACTGGAGACTGTAGAGGTCTTCCTGTAGAGGACACTTACTATAAATGGAGACTGGAAGTTTCTCTGGGGGAGTCAGTGAGTGGGTGGTGAGTGAATGTGAAGGCCTAAGATATTACTGTACAGTACTGTAGACTTTACACTTAGGCTA